AACACAGATCTAACTTATTCCACATAGGACTGCTTCTAACTTTCCTCACACACAGAACTAACTGAACTTATCAACTGTTAACCTGTAACTGTCACTCCTGACTGACATACATACTCATCCACTCATTTTCACTTCCAAAACCCCTCCCCCTCTCTGTCAACCACCAATCATACCACACTTGCATCTCTCAACAACTCTAGTCTACCAACCACAGCCATGCAACCAAACTTTTAAAGAGACACACACACAAAAAACCAAGGAATCGTTACAGGCACTTAACATCTCTATCATGGAAACGTTAAGTGTATCTGCTAAGTGTAACCTGGTTAGTCAGCGGCAGAGTACAAAAGGCTTAACAGTGCGTACAACACAGGGTGTCTGTTGTGGGGAGAGGAAGGGAAAGGATAATGTTAGCTGCTCTGAGACTCTAAGTGAACGGCAGGGTATGAATCCAATCGCCGCCGCCTCCTCTTCTTCTACACAGAGCACCTCTTAGAAACAGCCGCCTCCCTCTTAGGTTTGTGACCTCCCCCATGGTGGCCATTTTGTGATGGCGCTCACTCCATGTTCTCAGAATAACAAAAGTACCCATGGGCTCAACAAGGCTGGGCAGTGGCAAACAGGGACTCTCTTGTTTGCCCAGACTCTCTGACAGCGCGAGGGCTTTGTTTTCACTTTACGTAGGGAGTCTAGAAAAGTCTGGTGGGGCCTTATGACAGGAATGGTACTTAGGCAAAAACCTTGAGTGGTATCTCAGACCTACAGTTTTTATTCAGGGTGTTGACTCTGTCCTATAATGCCCCCTGTGGTTTCTGACCAGGGTATCTGAAGGGCCATCTTCTCCCATACATTCCTCCCCAAGAACTAAGATCACAGAGAGAGGCGCCCCTGACTGTCCCATCAATCACAGAAACTTGCCTGGTGGGCACATGAGATGGCCTTTTCAGTGGTAGCCCCACGATTGTAGAAAACCTTCTCAGGGAGGTGCACCTGGCCCCTTCACTGTTGATCTTCAGGAGGCAGTTGGACAGTTTATTTAGGACGACATTTGACTGATTCATCAGGCTGCGGTGGCTCAAGTGGTTAAGACACTAAACTGCAGACCGGAAGGTCAGTAGTTCAGCAGTTCGAGACCTGCATGCCGCATGACAGAGTGAGCTCCCGTCTCTGGTCCCAGCTCCTGCCAACCTAGCAGTTCGAAAGCAAGACATTGCAAGCTTCGGTGGGAAGGTAACAGCGTTCTGTGCGCCTTGGCATCTAGTCATGCCAGCCACATGACCACGGAAATGTCTTTGGACAATGCTGGCTCTTCGGTTTGGAAACGGAGCACCGCATCCCTAGAGTCAGGTTTGAGTGACTTTCGAGCAAAGGAAACCTTTACCTTGACCTTGACCGGTTTAGTTTTTCTTTATTGGCAGTCCTGACTGGAAATTTTAAAACTGTGGTCTTTTCAGTGTTTTCAGAAGACTTGTTTTATTTATATGGCGAACCTAAACAGCATGATAAAAAGTAGAGACATCACCCTGCCAAAAAAAGTCCACATGGTCAAAGCAATGGTATTCCCAGTAGTCATGTATGGCTGCGAGAGTTGAACTATAAGGAAGGCCGAGTGCCGAAGAATAGATTCTTTTGAACTATGGTGCTGGAGAAGACTCTTGAGAGTCCCTTGGACTGCAAGAAGATCAAATCAGTCAATCCTAAAAGAAATCAACCCTGACTGTTCCCTGGAAGGCCAGATAATGAAAGTGAAACTCAAATACTTTGGCCACCAAATGAGAAGGGATCACTCACTGGAGAAGACCCTGATGCTGGGAAAGATTGAAGGTCAAAGAAGACGGGGACGGCAAAGGATGAGATGGTTAGACAGTGTCATAGATGCAACGAACATGAAATTGAGCGGGCTTCGGAGGACGGCGGAAGACAGGAGGGCCTGGCATGATCTTGTCCATGGAGTCGCAAAGAGTCGGACTCGACCCTGCGACTGAACAAATAAATCCTTTTATTTATATTGTAAGCAGCCTGGAGTTCTGTGAGTGAGAAAGGTGGCCAATAAATGTTTTAAATACATAAAATATTAAGAAGTATGACATGATGGACGGTTAGTGGAATGAGGTTTGGTGTGCCTTGAATCACCCCTTCCTTAAGCAGACCAAGGCTTTAAAAGGGGAGTGGACAGATTCATGGAGGACGGGGGCTGTCAGTGGCTGCTGGTCACAATGGCCTACTAGTCGTGATGGATACCTACTCCCTCCAGTACCAGAGACAGTAAGAGCGCTTTTGCACATGCCAAATAACGCAGTTCCAATCCACTTCAGCGATCGCTTGCAAGTGGATTTTGCCATTTCACACAGTAAGATTGTGTGCATTGAAAGTGTGTTATAATGGACAAGACTGCAGATAAATATGAAGGGCAAACGAGTAGTCATGCGGGATCTCATACCAAATTTGTGTGCAGGCGGTTCCCTTTGATCACATATTTCGTGGGAAATGATCTACTACCCTCAAATCGTAACTATCTGGAATGGATACATTTTTGATTCACAGGTGTTTAGGCTGAGCCTTGCCCCACATGTTCCCCCAAGGGCACTACGGTCGGGGAATCAAAACCTACTGGACGTTCCAGGCCCCCGGTCCATCAGACTTACCATGACCAGGAATAGGGCGTTTTCGGTGGCAGTTCCTATCTGGTGGAACAAGCTCCCAGAGGAGATCAGGGCTCTGTGGGACCTAGCACAGTTCCGCAGAGCCTGCAAGATGGAACTCTTCCGCCAGGCTTTTGAATAGGAGCCGCCGCCACCAGTGTACCACCAACGCCCCATAATTTCTGCATCATGGGTGAGAACAGGACGTTTAGGGGACGGTCATCTTGCTTTTAGTAAGTGTAACTTTGGAATTGGTTCAGAGGAGCACCAAAATTGTTTATTAACTGTGATGTATTTTTAATATTTTGTACTGTTTTATTGTTTTATTCGGCAATATGCCTTGTTAGCCGCCCTGAGCCTTCGGGGAGGGTGGGATAGAAATGTAAATAATAAATAAATAAATAAAGTTTTAGACGTGAAAAGTAGATTAGACTGAGTACAAGGCTAGTTATGTGCAATATACAGATACTGAGTTGAAATTGATTGAAAAGACAATCTATATATCTAATAGCCAAGTTGCCCCCGGAGTGCGGATCGCTAAATCAGCGCTCCAGGGGCACTTGGGGGGGAGGGGGAGGTTTGTGCACACGTGGGCCAGTCCCCACGTGTGCACAAAAATGCTAAAAGTAGAAAAAAGATTCGGGGGGGATGTTTAAATCCCCCCGAAAGTGACAGAGCGTTCCCTGCGCATGCGCATGGAACGCTCTGTAGCTGGCCTCGCCGCCGCCTCCTCGGAGCCGGGCGGGCGGGAGGACCGGCCTCGCCGCCGCCACCGAGCCCGGCAAAGGGGGGGGGAAAGGACCGGCCTCTCCGCCGCCGCCTCCGCCTCCGCCTCAGAGCCGGGGGGGGACTGGCCTCGCCGCCGCGGAGCCCAGCCAGGTCGGAGGCGGGTGGGGGGGACTGGACTTGCCTCCGTCGCTGCTGCCTCGGAGCTGCCCGGGGGGGAGGACCGTCGCGGGTCCCCGTCTTGTGTAATATATCTTTCAGTATGCATGTTTGTATTGTTTTAATTAAATAAAATTTTGACAACCAAAAAAAAAAGAAAATAAAGAAAGTGTGTTATTTAGTATGTGTGAAAGTGCCCTAAAGAGCTTCTTTGTATCAGTTGCTGGGATACACGGGCTGGGGGGGGGACAGACTTCGTCACAGTCTTCCTGTTTGTGGGCTCCCTAGAGGCAGCTAGTTTCCCACTGTGTGAACAGAATGCTAGACTAGACGGGCCTTTGCTCCAATCCAGCAGGGCTCTTCTTATCTTCTTAGATCAACAGGTTCAGTAGAAGAGAGATGTACTGGTCTAGTGGGCTCCCCCACCACCACCCAGGACCAATGAAACTGATGGGCAGTAGGTTCAGGATGGACAAAAGGGAATACTACTCTACACAGAGAGTGATTCAAATGTGGAATTGGCTGCCCGAGGATATCATGATGGCCACAGGAATAGACAGCTTTAAAACGGGATTAGATAGATTCATGGAGGATATAAGTCTATCAGTGGCTACGAGCCATGGTGACTGAGGGGAACCTCCACATTCAGAGTCAGTAATCCTTTGAATCCCAGCGCCAGGAAGAAACATCAGGAGATCTCCCTGCCCTGTTGTTGGCCGTCCAGAGGAACTGGTTGGCCACTGTGTGAGACAGGATGCTGGACTAGATGGACCGCTGGCTGATCCAGCAGGGCTCTTCTGATGTTCTTATGAAGGCCTTGGCCTCTGTGCCCTGTTGTTGGCCCTCCAGAGGAACTGGCTGGCCCCTGTGTGAGGCAGGATGCTGGACTAGATGGCCCACTGGTCTGATCCAGCAGAGCTCTTCTGATGTTCTTATGAAGGCCTCGGCCTCTGTGCCCTGTTGTTGGCCGTCCAGAGGAACTGGGTGGCCACTGTGTGAGACAGGATGCTGGACTAGGTGGGCCCTCAGTGGTCTGATCCAGCAGGGCTCTTCTGATGTTCTTATGAAGGCCTTGGCCTCTGTGCCCTGTTGTTGGACATCCAGAGGAACTGGTTGGCCACTGTGTGAGACAGGATGCTGGACTAGATGAACCACTGGTCTGATCCAGCAGGGCTCTTCTTATGTTCTTGTCAGGGGAAGGCTTCGGCCTATATGCCCTGTTGCTGCCCATCCAGAGGAACTGGTTGGCCACTGTGTGAGACAGGATGATGGACTAGATGGACCACTGGTCTGATCCAGCAGGGCTCTTCTTATGTTCTTGTCTGGGGAAGGCCTCGGCCTATATGCCCTGTTGCTGGCCATCCAGAGGAACTGGTTGGCCACTGTGTGAGACAGGATGCTGGACTAGATGGACCGCTGATCTGATCCAGCGGGGCTCTTCTTATGTTCTCAACCGTGATTTCCCTCTTCCAGTTCACCAAGGCCGTGAAGCATTTTGGGGAAGAACCAGGGAGAACGCAGCCCGACGAGTTCTTTGGGATTTTCGACCAGTTCCTTCAAGCTGTGACGGAAGCCAAACAGGAGAATGAAAACATGAGGAAGAGGAAGGAAGAAGAAGAGCGGCGGGCACGCATGGAGGCACAGGTGAGTGTGTGTAGAGGAGGTGTGTGTGGAAATCCTGCAGCACTTCGAAACCCTGCCGTTTTGCAGAATGTTCGGGCCTGAAACATTGAGAACGCTCTTATAAAGGGATTAGAACCAGAGTGTGATGGATCGGCTCTTAAGGTAGTTTCTGCAGGGAGTCGTATTGTAGCATATCACAGTGTTCGTTGTACATGTTAGAGGAGGGGCCCTGGCTCAGTGGCAGAGCCTCTGCTTGGCACGCAGAAAAGGTCCCGGGTTCAACCCCCGGCATCTCCAGTTGAAAGGACCAGACAGTAGGTGATGTGAGAGACCTCTGCCTGAGAAACCGGGGAGCGGCTGCCAGTCTGAGTAGGCAATGGCGACCTTGACGGACCAATTGGTCTGGTCAGGATAGGGCAGCTTGCGGAATTGGAGGCTGCAGAATTGGACAAATTTATTGATAAAAGGCGCAACAGATTCGACATTTGAGAATACCTGGTCACGGTTTTATAACTGGTATGACAAACATATGTAGGCAAGCTTGCAAGAGACAGACCAAGAGTTTCCTAAATGAAATATATACCTGTTAGGAAGGTAGAGACAGAAAAGTTGCTTACGCCGTTCATGAGAAATTGTTATTACGGCGGAATAGGTAGTAGTATAAACAAGAGAGGAGACCCGCGAAACTCGCGGGGGGGCGGTGGAGCTCTGCAATCAGCAGACGGAGGAGGAAGCAGGAGCAGGTGAGCTTCCCCCCCCATCCTGCAGGTTTCGCCGTCTCCTTCCCGCCCCCCCTCCGGCTGCAAAAGGAGGCCCGCGCGGCTTGGACTACAAGAGTACAGAGTAAGTCTGTCAGTGAGGATCCTGGTATCTGGAGCGAAAAGCAAGTTTGACATCCCAGTTTGCAGCTCTGTGGGAACAACTAAGAACTAGATTTGTTCCTATGTGCCTAGAGCCTCCATGCCTTCTGTTTCTTAAGTCACATCAGAGTATGTCAGAAGCATAGGAACTATCCTTATACTAATACCCAAGTTGCCCCCTCCGTGCGGATATCTATATCTGCACTTTGGGGGCACTTGGGGGCAGGGGGAGGTTTGTGCACTCTTGGGGCAGTCCCCAGGGGTGCACAAAAATCGAAAAACTAAAAAAAAATATCGGGGGGATGTTTAAACAGCACGGTCGGCTACAGAGCGTTCGTGCGCATGCGCACGAACGCTCTTTCACTTTCGGGGGGATTTAAACATCCCCCCGATATTTTTTTTTAGTTTTTCGATTTTTGTGCACCCCTGGGGACTGCCCCAAGAGTGCACAAACCTCCCCCTGCCCCCAAGTGCCCCCGAAGTGCGGATATAGATATCCGCACGGAGGGGGCCACTTGGCTATTAGATATATAGATATTGGTAGAATTAAGAATAACCTCCATGTATTTGTTTGTATGTTAGTATGTATGTATATGTTATGATTGTTTGTGTATGTTGTGTGAAAAATGCAATAAAATCCTGCCCCTTTGGGGGGCAGTTTAAAAAAAAAAGGATAGGGCAGCTTTATGTGTGTTTGTGTGTGGATTCAGTTGGGTTTATGGGTGGATTCCCCTAATTTATGGGGAGGAGCTGTAGCTCAGTGGAAGAGCTTCTGTTTGGCCGGCAGAAGGTTCCAGGTTCAATCCATGACATTTCCAGGTCAAGAAAGTATCAGGCATTAGGTGATGCGGGGGGGGGGGGAGACTCTGCCTGAGACTCTGAAGAGCCACTCCCGGTCCAAGTGGACAGTATTGATCTGGATGATGACCCAGTGCTTCGATTTTGTCTAAGGCAGCTTCCTAGAACCTCAAGTTTCCTGGCTTTACTCCCACTAGTTTTGGTGGCACTGAGTGCTCCCTCTAAGCTGTGGAGTTTTGTGAGCAAAAATTCTACTTTGGGAGCTCCTGGCATTAAAGTTGTGAGGGAACGATTTGGCTGCTGCACAAATTACTTTGCCCTGGAGCCCTGAACGAAGATGAAGATGTGTGAGCCAGAGGCTAAAAAAAACTGTAAGCTAGCTCACACTAACTCAGCTTAGAGGGAACACTGGAATTTTACATTCCCCTTCTAATGTCTCTCTGTCCCCCTTTTCCCTCCCGCCCAGCTCAAAGAACAGCGTGAGAGGGAGCGCAAGGCCAGGAAGGCGAAAGAGAACAGCGAGGAAGGCGGAGAGTTCGACGACCTCGTCTCCGCCCTGCGGTCTGGCGAAGTCTTCGACAAAGACCTTTCCAAACTGAAGCGCAACCGCAAGCGAGTCACCAACCAGCTGGCGGACGGCAGCCGCGAGCGGCCCGTCACTAAGCTCAACTTCTGAACGCCTTCCAGGCCGGAAGAGAGTGAGCATCTGAGAAGAACTCGGCCGAGCAGCTGTGTGGAAGCGGCCCACGTTTGCCTGCCTTGCCCCTCGAGCGGACCGGCTCTTCCTCCCTTCTCATTTTGCGTGCATGTGCTCGTGGGAGCGTGTGCGCGAAGGTGCCATAAACACATCCGGTGGGGTGGGCAGAGGGGCGGGAACTGTGCCCTCTGCACGCGGGAACACGCACAAAAGCCCTGCTGCCTAAGCCAGCGTTCCCTTTCCTTTCCCTCAACCAAGGAGGGTGTTTCCAAACAGTAGCTTCTCCGCTGTCCGAGCACAAACTTTGAGAAAGCGAAGGTCAGAAACCACTCCTGCGGGAAATTGACGCTTCTCATGGGAAAGCAGGCAAGACAATGGGGATTCTCTCTATGGTGTTCTATAACTATGTCCCGCCCCTTAAAATGGCCAGCACACGGGAATCTGTTTCACACCGGGGTTATGACGCCCGTCTCTCCTCCCTGCAGTTTTCCCAACCCAGAATTCCCCTGTATGATTGTTAAAACTGCATGGTAGGGGAGACGGGGAACTTGCATTTCTCATGCCGCAGTCCTGACCCGAATCGGGGCCTCGTGCCACCATTTAAAGGGAGGAAACAATGGGAAAGCGCCATACGCTGAACTCCCGGCGTCTTGTCTGGTTTGGGTCTTACAGATTTGTAAAGGGGGTTGGGGAGGGGGAGTAGGGAGATTTAAAGTGGGGGAGGACGGGAGGGGAAAAAAAAGGAGACTGTATGTGTGAGCCTTGGTCAGGACGCGGGCTCTTTTTGTAGCAGGAACTCCTTTGCATATTAGGCCACACACCCCTAATGTAGCCAATCCTCCAAGAGCTTACAGAGCTCTTCTTACAGGGGCTACTGTAAGCTCTTGGAGGATTGGCTACATTAGGGGTGTGTCGCTTAATATGCAAATGAGTACCTGCTACAAAAAGAGCCCTGCGAGAGCGGTCCGTTGAGACTGGGGCGGCAGGGTGGCTTGAAGTCCGTTCAAAAGTCCTCCGTTGTGGCCGGTAAGAATCGAAGTGATTAGTTCTTGTTATTCCAAAACTTGAATTCTACACCCCCACCCATGGTGACTGTGCAGGTTCCACCATTCTTCTCCGTACCCGCCCTCTCCCCCTCCCCCATCTCAATGGATCGCTTTTTTTTTTTTTTTGGTTGTCGGTTTTGAACGAGATGCGTTTCTCTTCCATAAGCCTGCTGAAGAAAATTTATCCGGAGGACATTCTTCTTGCTGTAACAGTACACGTGTGGGAGTTTGCTCGTTGTCTTGCCTGAGTTGGGGGGGGGGGCGGTGTTGTTTTGTGCTTCTTTTTTAAATTATAAGGCTAAAGAGCTCCGTGTTTAAGTTCTGTTTCCCCTCCCCCCCCCCCATGGGACAAGCTGTATTCTCTGTAAATATAGGTCGGAATTGATTCTATATCTGGGCCGGTTCCGTCACAATGCTCAACTGATGCCGGGCAGCTCCCAGAGAGACTTTGAGTGTTTAGACACCGGTGCAAAGCTTAGGGCATGCTCGTCATACACACGCAATGTTGCCATGTGCACAGACCAGTGTGTTAAAGCTGCATTTTGAGTGCAATCTCTGTTTCCTTCTCTTCAGATAGACCAACCTGTTAAACTTACTGTAGTGTATTGGGGGGGGGCTACTTCAACCAAAATGGTTCTTAAGAGGGCCTCCCCCCAATATTGAGGATGTATCCTCTCTTGTAGCTTGTTCCCTGATGATGCCATGAACCACAGTGCCATGGAGCCCCAGGTTTTGGGGGGCACGTGGAATTGTGGCTTCATTCCAGGTTGTCCTGGATCTCAAAAGAGAAGGGGTTAGAGGCTGTTTTCTAGCAGAAGGGAGCTTTGAAAAGGGGCTGGCTTTCGTTGACTTTTTAAGGACTTTAATTTATAATGTAAAAATAGAGGGAGACAAAAAACAACAACAACAGAGGCCAAAACAGTTTTTATTTTTTGTTTTGTTTGTTTCTCGGGGGGGGGGGCGAAAGTGTTTCGCTGTTCATATTTTGTCTTGCAGATCTGTAAGCAGAACTACCTTGTAAAAGACGTTGATCCAAAATTCTACGAAGCCCAGATTACTCAGGGAGTAATTAATAATTTTTAAAAAATAGTAATACAAAAAAAAAAACGGGAAACTTTTTTTTGAATGCCAATACTATAGCACGGCTTAATATTCTTAAATTATAGAGAATATAGACTGTTACTTTTTTTTGTTTTTGCTTTTATTTATTTGTGGGTTTTCTTTTAAGTGATTTTTTTTTATATACTATCATCGCTCTGTTGTGATCTGAGACGTAATGGGGAATACTGTGTTTATGCGTGTGTCTTTCCCGTGGAGGTTTTTAGTTGATCCCTGTTGCACTAGTAGTTGTCTTGAAATATGCCGGTCTCGCAAAGGATATTGACTGGTGAGGACTTTGGATGACATTTCCCTCCCCCCTCATGTACCAAACAGCAAAATGTGCAGTTTTCTATAAAAGTTTGTACAGAATGCAATTCTCGGCACAGGGCTTGACAGATCCCCAGTGCGGCATGGAAACTGTGAAGATCACTTTGTAGAGAGCTGTCAACGGGCTTTTCCGCATTCCTACTTCCCTCACTTCTAAGTTCCTGTTCCTTTGAGGATGTTTTTCCTGCTCTGCGTGTGTTTTACTCCCTCTAGCATTCAATTCAATACCACACAGGTTTATGTCCGGAGTAAGAAGAAGAAATTTTATTATGGCATCCAGCCAAAACAATCCAAACACTTCAGCAAAGGGGCACCAAAATAAGATATTACAAAAAATACAATATAGAAATGTCCAGAATAAAAACTGGCCGTTTAAATCTGCAGGGTGGTATGCCGGATACAAACCGGTGTAATATCAAATTGACCACTAGGGGGAGTAGAATACATGCAGAACAGGGAAAACCCCTGAAGAAACAGGAATTTACAAATAAGGAGAATAAGGAAAAGCCCAAAGAGAGTGTGTGCCTAAAAGCGTGTGTGCGTGTGTTTTCTTTTTTACAACTTTAGCTTCTCTTCATCTTTCGGGTGTTCCACATGTGCAGACGACTCTTCAAATAGCTTGCAAAGCAGTAAGAATGCAGAAGCCGATTCTCCAAACCGCTGTGAACCTTACCGAATGTGCAAAGACAGCACTTTTTTTGCGATAAAAGTTGGAAACGTAGTCGATCCGTAACTGTTCCTTAACTAAAGTGCCTCTATTTTTTTATATGTTTTTTTTTTCCATTTATAGCGGGAAGAAATTTGGTTGATTACAATTTGAGGAACTGACTGTTTCCCCCCCAAACGAGTTTGGATGATCCAATGATTTGCATTTAATGGTTTGGGGTGTTGTTGTTTTTTTTTAGAACAAAAGCATGTTTTGAATTTGGAAACTAAAACAATAAAAGAGGAATGGTGTTGTCTATACAGCTTTAAGTGGTCGTCAGGGGACCTTTCCTGCTTCGTAGCTCAAGAGACATAGGGTGGCATGTGTAAACTGGGTGTTTCTGGTGCACAACAGCATCTGCAGAATGTGTCTTGGAGAAAGGCGGGTCCCTTATTCTTCCAGGACACTTCCACGTTTACTGCAGGAAGGCACATTCCTCGTGCACCTGTTTACAAGGACCGTATGACCCAGCAGGGGACGTGATAACATCTTGCTTTCTTCCATGTGGAGATCAAGACTGAACCTGTATTTCTGATCTCCTGAAGGTCCCATCCTGAAGCACGCTCAGTTCTGGAAAACCGTTCAGACAGATTACCTTTACCACAACAAACGGTGCTTTGTGTGGTTTGGAACGGGTCTCCTCCTCCCCCCACCCCACTTGCAAGATTACTTCTTGCAGCTAACATTGTGGAAATCCACACCCTTGTGGCGGGAAAATGAACCACGCAACCCCTTCCCGTGGTGGCGGGCTCTGTGTTCAAATTGGCGAGCCTTAATTGTACAGCAGGGGGGGTGTAGCAGAGGAGGTTTCAGAGCACCTCCATCTCGCACGATCAGTCCAACTGTACCATTGCAAACGGAGGTCATTCCACGCAGGTAATGACGAAGCACTCGAGAAAACGCTTCAATCGCAGTCCTGTCCAATCCGATGCATGGGAAGACAGATTATAAATATTAAATGCTGAAAGAGGTCACGTGTGAATCGAGTCATTGGCTTTTTGAGGGCAGAGCCAGAAGGCAGCCCCAAGGTTCTGATCGGGCCCACCGCAGCGCATCCGGGTTCTGCAATCTGGGATGTCGCCATAGCATGTTGCAGAAGCTTTGTCCAAAAGTGTTCTGGTGTTTCGGTGCATTAAGAACCAACCTGTATGGCATCGGGTTTGTGCTGTACAAAAAAAAAAGTGTTAAAGTGTTCACAGGTGTAGTTGCTTCAGTTTTGCAGCTGGTGGGGTCCCAGGAATTCTCGGGAATTCCAGCTGCACAGATGGCAAAATTGGGAAGCCGGGCATTGGTTATAGCCTCCCCCCCCCTTTTCTCGCGCTTCCAAGACTATTTTTACTTTACAGCAGACCTTGTTTATTGGGCTACTCCTGCCCTTTCTTTTTCTGTTCTTTCCTTAAATTGGGGGGGGGGGTGACACTATGTGTGCAGGTAAATACCATGTGCCATTTCTCGCAAACTACATTTAGACTGGTGCTGAGTAGAAGTAGCCACTCTTTTTTTTAAAAAAAAAAAAATGATTTCCCTCTCTGTCTCTCCTGGGTGTGTAATTTCGAAGATTTATTTTCTTTTTAATTCATGCCAAAAAAAAGAGAAAAAAAGACAAGTGATAGTTTGTAAACTGAAGTATACTAATGTAGCTTTGTGGTAGCAAAGAGTTTAGTGGTTCCGTAGGTGCAAGGATGTTTTTAGCTAGCAGGATATGCTGTGTATGTTATGAGGCTGTACATTTTTTAAAAAAAAGAAAGAAAGAAAGGTGGCAATATGCAATAAAGTGTGTAAATACTATGGACGCATAGTCTTTTTATTTGGTCGCTGTAAATAAGATTTTTTTTAAAACTGCTGCTGTGGGTGGTACGGTCTGTCACGCGGGGAAACACATCTTAACATTCAAATGGAAGTCCACAGAAAATCTCTCTACCAGTGTGATACGTGTACATTTTCTTGTGCCTCTAACATTTATTTTACAAAATTTATACCCCACCTTTCTGCCCTCAGGGGGACCATGAAGGCAGCTAAGAGATTAAAACGTACACAAGTGAGCTCAAAAAAGTTCTTAACTGTAGGGATGTGAAGAGAAGAAGAAGAGATGGGATTTATACCCCGCCCTTCACTACCCAAGGGAGTCTCAGAGCGGTTTACAAACTACTTTCCCTCCCCCTCCCCACAACAGACACCCTGTGAGGTAGGTGAAATTGAGAGAGCTCTGACAGAAACTGCCCTTTTTTCAATAACAGCTGTGACAGAACTATGGTTTGCCCAAGGTCATCCAGCAACTGCAAGTGGAGGAGTGAGGAATCAAACTCGATTCTCCCAGATTAGAGTCCACACACATAAACACTACACCAAACTGGCTCAAACTGTGTTGCTGGGGACAAAGATCAAATTAAGTCATGCCATAGTATTCCTCATCACTATGGATGGGTGTGGCGAAATGGGGACCCACTCTCAGCCCTGAATAGCCGTTCACTGGTACGCAA